CGTATAGGTACAGGTGGTGCCACGAACTACCTACTAAGCCTCAAATATATAGACCTCTGATTTAACTGAACACATTTTGAAAGAATGTTCGATTATGACGTTTAGGAAAAATTACATAATTAAAAAAACAAAATTTATAGTTAGTACATATAGCTATAGTTACTTATAAAATTGAGTAACGTAGGTATAAACTATATAAACTATTTATGTAGAATGCGGTTAGCTTGACAAAGATACAAATTCGGTGACCGCAGTCCACATTGTATATACCATGTACGGTACAATCGAGAACGTGGCCATGATAATTTCATCAGTCAGTAAAGGTTAAACCTAACACTATCAACTTTGCACTACGAGCCTCGATCACCGAGAAAATTATGTGATGGGAAATTTTTTGGCACATACTATCCGTCCAAAATTTAAGTTTGGGATCTACTTTATTGATACCTATTCGATCAACAGTCTGTTTTTAAATAGCCAATAGGCAATGATATATAAGCCAACTAACCTACCCGGCGTAGTGGGTACATACACTGCAGGCTGCTTTATTACAGTCCAAGTCGTCCCAGTCCAAAATGATCAGGCTTGTATGGTAACAAAGAGAACATCGAATTTTTCCACCATACACCCTTAGGTTTTGGATTGCTGTCCCGATACATGCTTGTGGTCCTAACCCGGTGGTGTATGCAGGGGCGTAAAAAAAAACTAAATATATATCTATATACTGTTGTCATAAATCATAATCAATATTTGAAAATATACTTTTATTTCTTTAACAATACGAATACTTTTTTTATATCTATTAACTTGGTACCATATAGAATATACATCATATGCTATATAATTTCAAGGACTACCATATCTAACAGTCCGATTTCAATAAGTATTTACTTATACTAAAATACTATAGTATTTGATAAAATATATTATAGCTATACTATATACTATATGGGTAATGTTAATGGGCTAGGCCTAGGGAATATGGTTTACTAATTTATTTTTCTCCACGTTATATGAAGCGCGTGATGGTGTCGATGATGTGTGGCTCACAGAGTTATATGATTATATATGCTACCAACAATTTATGCGAAACTGTGCGTCGATGTGACCGTTGCCACCACGTTAGTACTTGTAATATTAAATACTATAAAAATGTAAGGCGGCGTACATTATCCGTGAACATCAATTTCATACTACATTGCTCGGTTGTGACCAAAAGCTTGTTGTTCTTGCTTTTATCCTACACTCATGGTGCTACGATTTTCGTGTTTCAACGTGCCATTGGCATATTTATATTGATTCCATCTTAAGCTCGTTTGAATTCAAATATCTGAAAACCCCAGCTTTGAATTACATCTTGATGACTAGCTGGTTTAAAATATAATCCTAAATCGCGGGTTTCCATTATACCTACTCAGTCATATATCAAGCTAATATAAGTACTTATATATTCAACTTTCCGACATCGTTTACCTATCAGTCGCGGGATTTTTTTTTTGGGGGGAATGTATCACTATAGTTACTACTTTACTAGTAAGTTAGTAAGTTTATAATTATATATAATATTTGAAATAAAATAATAAAATGATACCTCCTCTTGAATATAGTTGTAGCCTATTGGAAATGGTTAAAACTAAAAATGTCTGCCTGAAGCTTTTATTAATTGTATTTTCTCAGCGGACAGCACAAAATCTTAATAATTAGGTTTTAAAGAACGCCACTCTTTTATTTTAACGGATATTAGGTGCATACGCTAATATACAAACATTTTAATTATTTTTTTGAAGAAATTTTCATTTTAGTATTTTAGATTCCATATAGGTTTGTATAGGTATTTTTTAATATGTATACATAATACATTAATACATAAATTAAATACAGTTCTTTTTTTTCTTTTTTTAAGCATTACATACCAATTAAGCTCTTTGCTGTCAATACTAATTCCTTTCATTTTTGGGTATATTATTTACAATCAAATAATTTCAAAACTGTGCAGGCCCCAAATTTTAAGGGGTCGCTAGACCGCACCTTATTCAGTCCTCCTTTAAACCGGCCATATTCTTAAGTGCTATATTATGAACGTCACGTACTCAATTCTATATTATCATATATTTTATATTTCATATCAAACAATAAATGAAGCCGTATAGTACATCAAACTGTACCAAAGTGTAGATATAATAGGTAACCTGTCTACCGCGTCGTCGAGATATGAAAACAAAATAATAATACAGTAGTGAAACGTATATAATAATGGACAGTCACTGGGCCATCAAAAGGGGCGTAGACTGTTTGGGCAAATCGACCCAAAATGTGGTTTGTCAGAGCGAATTGATATACGTACAGTTTAGGTGAGTGTTTATTCCATTAAAAACGTCGTTTGGGCGAAAAAGTATATAGGTTTATAGGTAAATTAGTTTATACATATATCGTATTGTGTAGGTAGTACCCATAATAATCATTGTCATAATACCTATTAAAAAATGAAAATAATACAATAAAATCACATGCGCATCAAACTATCTAAGTGACAAATTCTATGTACCTAGCTCACACAGGTAAAAATAATTTCACTCGTCCAAACTACCACAGATCTTCACAAATGTACAAGACGCATCCGCTATAGACAGGCTTTAGTATTTAATTAGTGAAACTCATATAGTAGGTACATATCTATATCATAAAATATTGTATTTTTATGAAAAATAGCCTACAATAAATATTATTACATATTATTGGTACACGCATTCATGCGTTATGCGTATAGTGGTTAATTAAACATAATATCTACATTATTATAAATACACGCAATTAACGTTATCGGTGATAAAGGACGGTAATGTATCGGTCGCACTGCGTTCAGCGTTGTTGCGACCTGTAGACTTGTAGAAAGTAAGCAGTCTATGCCGGCTGGCGGCGACGCTGTTTCGTAGTATAATAATAATATGTACATACCACATACGTGTGCGGTGTGCGATTATATTTACAGAGTTTGAAGTTTGAACTAAGATTATTGTCCTTCGGTATCGGGAGAAAATGACTCTCTATGTCCGTAATAATGATGATCTGAAATATAATATAATATAGGATACCCGTATTTTTGCAGGGACTTGAACATTTTGTCCGTTGAGAAAGGTGACCTTAAAGTAGTTAGGTTTCACTATAGCTGTATTTTAATACTGTTGCCGTCCGCGTTATTTCGGTGACGATAGGTATAGCTGTTGCAGCTGACAGGAGGAGGAAAAGGAGGGCACCGGTGGTCGGTTTTTTAAATTTTTTTTTCCATTTTACCACGCTTAATATTTTCGTGCCGTGTCAAAACGGCGCGACGACGACGACGACGACGACGACGGTCAACAACTCTCTAGTCTCTATCGCAGTTCCCCCCTCAGGCGCGCGCGCGTCACACTTATTCGGATAAAAACATTACATATAAGCTATACGCCGCCAGAGTTTGGACGGGGAGGGGCAGGGGGCACCGGTATACGGTCGCCGCCGTGTATAGGCATAAGGCGTATTATTATTATTATCATTATTATTATGTAGTATACTAGTATGTACGGCCGAGTTCTACGGTCGGGCGCCCTCGTTGGTGTTGTCGTCCTCGGCCCCGAGAATTTCTATTAATTTTTTTTTATTTCGCGACCCGAGTTCGACTCTATCGTGGTCCATTGTATGTATAGGTACCTATTTGCTTTTATAACCACGCTAGACGAAAACCCTTGACTCACCCCCTATAATCGATCAGTTTTGTGATGTATTGTAATACGACAAATACTTATAATATTATAGAACAATAATAATAATATTGTTATAATAGCAATCAATTAAAATCATAATAATAATAACATCATCGTTGATGCGCGATATTAATAATAATATCATAATTAGACATAATGATGATGATGATATTGATATTATGGCGGCGGCGGCGGCGTCGGCGTCGGCCGAACCACCGGACGGAAAACACAAAAATAGAAGCCCGACAACGCGCATTATAGGTACAGTGTGTTACAACAGCCCCGCGCGCCGTCGGGTTTTATTTTCGTGTGGCGGAGAGCTCGCGTACGTTTTTATAGTAATAATAATATATATATATTTTTATACGGTTTTTTTTCGCCGTCACCTCCCCGCACCGGCTGGCCCCTCACCTCCTCCCCGGTAGAGCCGAATTCCCCTTCCACCGCCTTTACCATCACGCCGCCCGGCGAGCGGAACGCCAAACGACCTCACTCGCAGGCGAACCGACCACCGCCGCCGCAGTCAAGCCCCCCCCAAGTGCGCGCGCTCTCGCACACGCACACGACCCGTTCACGGCGCCCGCCACCGATATATCAATTATTGTTGTTCTCGGGGAAATTTTTTGGGTAGGGGCTTGAGCGCTTCCACTGCCGCCCGCCGACGCCGCACGCTGTCCGCCGCCGACGACGCCGAACCGTTTCGGGTGCCCGCGCCGCGCCGACGAGGCGGTTCGCCCGTTCGCCTCCCCACCAATTTTTAATGCGCCGCGCAGTATACACGGTCGTCGCCCGCGGGCCGCCGGAGCGCATCATTTTTTTTCTCTTTTCGTACACTCTTTTTCTATACGATTTTTTTTTTATCGTAATCCACTCACAGACACACAAACGCGCGCGCACACACACACACACACACACATACACACACCCGTAGTCTACGTGGCCCGCCGCCGCCGCCGCCGCTGCGCTCGTCCCCGGCCGCGCCGCAGCCCGCAATATTATACGTGAAACTCTTGTAACTGCCGCCGCAGCACACGGTCGTCCGTTTTTCGCGTGCGCCGCCGACGACGTCGTCTGTTGCCGCACAAAATAATATCGCTACACGACAATCGCGAGGTGCTCCCAAATTTCGTGGTCATCTAGTTATTTACACATCGTATTATTATAATCCCGTTTAACGTGCAGTGCGGCGTCGAGTGTCGACCATAAGTCACGACTGCGTTTCGTCTGACGTATCCCTCATACGACGGCAGCCGCACACCGATGGCGCACGACGAGGAAGACGAAACGGCCGCTACCGCTGCCAGCTGCAGGTTGTGCTGCAGGCCCTCGGTGGCCGACGATCAACGACATCCGATCGTCACGGCCGCCAACGCCGAGGACGGCTGCGGCGGGACACGCCCCGGCGGTGGCTTGCGCGACACCATTGTCAAGCACCTGCGGATACAGGTGAGCGACCGCGTGTGTACACTACTCAGTGGCATCGTATCGTAATACATATTATTGTTATTAATTTCGCCAGACGCCAGTACTCACCACCGCCAATTATGCAGTCCTAGTTTTCTTTACGTACTCATCTAAATTTTCCCATCGTTTCATTTGCTCCAAGGCGGCACACTCGGCCTTTGCCGCGCTCAAGCGAACGCGTGTGTGTAATAATAATGATTATAATAATACTCCCTACCCACCGCCGCCACCGCCACCACCGACCTTTTGAAATAACAATTGCTCTGCTATCAATGATGATTGCGTCACGCCTGATAACGACGACATTTGCGATCGAACAGCTGCACGCATCCACGGCCGACGTGTTGGCGCACGACCCGGCGGCATTTTTCCTATCCGTCGTGCTTGGCGACTTATTTCTCTTCGCCGACAGTCTGTTCGAGTTAACTTTAGACTTGGTAGCTTTCCGTCCTCATACGTCATATACAATGCCCCCAATACATATTTGAAGTTGTAAAGATTTAAGGCCAAAGAATCATGATAAGCAGTTTCACTTGATATCGCTTTGCTACGTTCGACTTGTGTCCGTACATTGCTAGAATAGTGAAATATCTGTTGACCGTACTATGTTCACGTTAATTATTATCACCTGTTTGGTATATTTCAATTTTGCACTGTAATTATTACTCAACTCTTAATATTACATCCTGCTTCGAATCGCAAGTTCATCAGTCAAGTGTTGTTTAGTGTGACAAATAACATGGTACCTATTATGTAACTTGAATTTTATAGTTTGTTCCACTTGCATAATTTGCCATTCCTGGTATTTTTATTCATTTGACTTAATTGAAGTTTACTTATTCTCGGTACCTACTCTGCTGATAAACCAATAAATATTTATTAAAAAAAATTTGACACAAAGTTAAATAGTACTTACATTTTGCCAATATAATTATTATTATATTATATATATTACTATACATAAAAGATGCTGTGTTTTTGAGTAAGAAAAGGTATACAAATAAATACCTTTAAAATACCCAATACCTATACCTATATTTTTAAAATAAATTATTAAAATATAAGTATTATACTACACATGCGAGTGCAAATGTTATAGAAAATAAAGATGACTACTTATTGTATTGTTGTCGTGGGTGAATTAATTGAAAATGTCTTATTTTATTTAGGTTTCAGAGGATGATGGCTTGTCCAAAATAGTATGTTCTGAGTGCTTGACTCTGTTAAATGAGTGGGAACAATTTTATGAGATGTGCTCAAAAAATAACAACATGCACCTGAAACAACTATCGGACGGAGATGATAAAGTATATTAAATTCATATTATACATTTATTAATACTTAATTAAATTTAATGTAGATGTAGGTATATCAAAGTAGTACATGGGGGTAGGTAAAGGGGGTTTTGGGTGTTCAAACACCCCCCAAAATTAAATAAAACAATCTTGAGCTTTTTGTGAATTTGTTTGAGAATATTATTAACTCGCGTATTATTTAGGATTTAGACAAAAACCCCCTCCAAAAATATTTCCTTCCTACGCCCATGAAGTATTATATATTATAATATAGGTACCTTCCTATTATAAATGGTTGTGTTGTTGTTAGTTTTAGTTCACTATTCTAATAATTTATAGATAATGCATTATATAAACAAGGAACCTACCTACTTTGATATTTTATTTTTCTTCAAAATCAATATTTCTCTACAAAATATAAGTGCTCACTCAAATGTATTTTTATCACAAAAATGTATTTGAAAATGATTTCATATTAATTGATATTATACATTATACTAACCTAGATTTCAGAATCAGTATTTATCCACGTATTCCTAGAATTATGATAATTGTTATTACTGTTGGGCTTTGCATTGGGATAAATATTTTTATAATTTTATTTTATTTATTTAAGTGTTTAACGTTTAATTTGAGATTCTTGCACTTATACAATCATCCTTCTACAACATTGACCACTACATATTATTTTTTTTTCCTAAAAACTTAATTGAAAGGAAATGGAAAAGGAATGTACATACTAAAACTATCAATATCAATTTGAAAAAAGACTGAGTATTTGACGACCTATATAATATATATATATGTGAGTTTATATATTATGCTTGCAGTTCTAGATTCTGATTATCACCACATGGCCTCATGACATATTTGTTTTATTGTTACATAATCATACCGCATGGACGTAGTCCAGTTTTAGTTATCATGTTAATTTATTGTATTATTCATAATAAACCATTTATGATAAACTCAAAACGAGTATAATAACCAGTACTATTTTATGTTTGTTAATTGCAGTCTTTATTAGTCAATACATGGAAATTGGAATTTAGTGTATACTGGTGGTATTATAATGTCATATTATTACTTATTAGTCATTCATTTTCATTTGGTTTTCAAAAGCTAATACCTACATAATTATAATATGTAAAAATAGGATGTGTGTATTATTAATTATAAAGCTAGACTAAATGGTTTTGTATTTAGTATCCAACTAGATTGAAATAGTTAATAAATGTATGCTAACCTTATGGGTGTTAGTGTAGCTTGCGATCTACCAGCCTTATGTATACTCACACTAATAAAATAATATAATAAACATATTTGAGCATTATTTTTGTGTTACAAAATAATTTGTCACTGTTTGGCACAATCACAATCATTATTTTCTATAACTATATTTATGTAATGACATACTTAATATCTAGGCAGAAGCCATTTTGTGTTCATATTTTGTCCTTCGATTAAACTTATCATATTTTTTGATTTGGATATGTACCTAAATCATATCAGTTAACATAATTTTTTGAGTAACTTTAAAGTAAATTCACCCATTGGAACAATTATGGAAAATAATATTTTTGATGTTATGACAATGATGTTTTTAAATATTGTCTCAAAATAATTTAATATCCATTTAAATGTACAAAAAAAATTATATTTTTATAGTTGAATGTTATTATAATATAGCCAAGTAGTAATAAAATCTAAAACCGATACTTATGTCAAATTATCAAATATGCTATCTTCAATAATTTGTGTCGTAGGCGTCTTATTTTTTAGATTACTCAAAAATCTTAAAAAATGATTTTACATGAATGCGTTTCATCTATGCTGTGCATGGGTCTGAGCAAAAAAACTTCCTGAAAAATGGCCAACTTAGTTCTTTGAATAAGATGTAGGGTTTGATAAATCATAAGTTCCTTGATGATTTGATTCTCATCATTCTTATCCTCAGAAATTTAAAACTCGAATGTACAAATGTTTTTTTTTAACAGATTCCTACTATAAAATAATACAATTGTCTTAAGTTTTAGTTACCTATAAATATATTTGTTTCTTGAATATAATAAATATATTAATTTTATAGAATGATGATGGTGATGAAATGGCGAACAATTTAGTAATTGACATTACTGATGAAGATGATGGACAAAGTTATACAAGTATGTGGAGAGAAATGTACACATTAAAAATATATTGATAGGTAGTATAGGTACTGATACTAGGATCCAGGATTGTATGCACAAAAATTCAAAATATGATCCTAATATACTCTAAAAAAAACCTAAAATACCTATTCTTGGTTCAGCAAGAGAACACTCAAATTATGCACATCCCCTGTTTCACTCTGCTTCTGAAACCAGTTCACCTATGGCAGGGTGTCAAGTGGGGATGCAAAGAAATTCCGATTTTGATAGGGTCGCTATGCGTTCTCTTGCTGAAAAGAATATAGCATACAACATAAATATTTTTAAAAAAAAACATTTTTTTAAGCACTAAATAACATTAAAACATATACAAATATTTTAAGTTTTTAAAAAAAATGTTTAAACCATAAGATACAATTTATGAAAACATTACAAATTATTATAATGAAAAACTTATCATAATTATAAAAATAGCAGACAAATTGATTGCAGCCTAAAAGGAATATATGATAAATTTGATTTGTTTGACCCCTGGCCCTAGTACACTGTGTTATTTAGAAAAATAATTTGATTGTGGCTTTGAATACAGTAAAATAAGCTGTCACCCCCGCCCCCTCCCCCATGGGCAGGAGGGGTACCATTGTTACCATAAAATAAATTAAATTTACCTAATGAAACAACATTATAATACTCACTAATTTTCATTATTTTGAAAATAAAGAATTTACACACAACACAATTTTCTGAGTTCTGTAGTTCCATACTTCATATTTTAGGTAGGTTCATAAACTTGAAATCATAAACTTTTTAAAGCCTATTATTATAATATGTGTTAGTTAAATTTTCATGGATTAAAATATACACATAGTATTTTTATTTTAAAAAAATATTTAAAGTTTCTTGTTGAAATATTGTTCAGCACTTTCAGCTTATTAATATTATGTTTGGTTAATATGTTATAATTTTATCTATGTCAATGTAATAGGCAAAGATAAAAGCAAATCGGGAGCACCTAAAAGATCATTCCTCGGAGAACCATCACCTGAAGATTATGTACTGATGAAAGAAGAGACTTTCAATTTAGAACCAGTGTGAGTATTTTAATAAATTCAATATAGATTATTGCATTTGGTCTATTATAGATTTTTATGAATATTATTGTATGCATTTTCAGTAAGAATGGACCAACAGGGGTTTTGGGTGACTATTTAATAGAGTACAACAATTCCAAAAAGTTACCAATAGATTCGAGTAATGCTGATAAAGACATTGTTGACAATTTACGCATTCGAAGAGAAGTTTTACCATCCATGTGGGATGTATTTGAAAAGACTATTGAAAAGCTAAAATCTGGTAAAATAAAATTTTTAATTACTTCAAATCATTTTATACTTATTGCTTACTCAGCTGCCTAACATAATATTTTTGTAATTCAGGCTTTACTAAATATAATATATCTATAAAGACAGTTTGGTCTTAACTATATTTATTTTATTATACCAATATCTGCTATACATATTACACACTGATTGTATCTGTTTATTAATTATTACAAACTTAAATAAAACTAAAGTAAATAGTTAAAATTTCCAAACAACAAGTATTTTAATAATTAAATTTCAAAAATAACATTTTCAACCCTATTAAAAAATTTACTATTTACCCAAGATAAAAATATTTAGAGATTTATATTTATTATCACCTAACCTTGGTAATACACTTTTTTGGTTTGTAAAATATTTTTATTTTGTTTTTAGGAGAGTCGTGTACAACATTAGTAACTCATAGGCGTTATATTATCAACAAAGGCGCATTTCCTTGTTCACTGTGTGGTGAATGTTACGAGTTTGATCAGGGTGTTTGTCGTGATGAAGAAGAACCTCAGCCACCGGTTGAAGTCGACATCCAACAACGCTTATTCATTTGTCCTACCTGTGGGAAATCTTTCCCTCGTCGTAGCTCATGGAAACGTCATCAAATGACTCATGAAGACGTAAAGCCATATGTATGTCGAATTTGCACAAGTGGCTTCAATCGTAAAGAACATTTGATGCGCCACATGTTGTCGCATAGCACTGTTAGACCATTTCCATGTGAACGATGTGGTAAACGTTTTATACGCAAAGAGCATTTAGCCAGACATCTTTTGTGCATACCAAGTTGTTCTAATTCGTCTGACATGCCGAGACCATTCTGTTGTGATATTTGCAAACAGAGGTTTGTGCGTAAGGAACATCTGTTCAGACATAGAAAACGAGCCCATGAACATGCATTAATTTTGGATAATCAATTAGAAGAAAAACCATTTGTATGTTGGCAGTGTGGAAAATGTTTTACCCGCTATGAACACCTGCGCAAACATTTGGATATTCACAATGGTATTATTCCTTCATCTTCGACAGAATTACTTCCTGAAGTGACTCTTTCAGAAATAAAGCCTGAAGAGACCTCAGTAGATATCAAAACTGAAAATTTATCTGATTCCGAAGGTGAACCTGAAGTGCTCCCTCCAGTGAGTGTCCTTGAACTCAACGAACAACAACCCGAACAAGCTAGACCAAAACCAAGTACGCTTTGTACTATTTGCAAAAAAACCTTCTCTCGCCGTAGTCATTTGTTACGCCATCTAAAGCGTATACACAAAGTAGAACCAGTGTTGACCAGGAGGCGTGTACACAAATCCGGCGACGAAAACGGAAATTCTATAGAAGATACCAAATGGGAATGTCATACGTGTGGAAAAACATTTTCCAGACAAGCTCATCTTGAGAGGCACGAAAAAAACTTGCACAGTGAAGAACGTATGGTGCCTGCCCCATATGAATGTGTGTCTTGTGGCCAAGCCTTTTTTGATAGCAATTTACTCAATCAGCATATGGCAACACATGGGAATACTGTGACTGATAATTTTGTTTGGATGTGATATGGTTAAATATTGGGGTTTTTAATTTTTTAATTTTGGGTGTGTAATCAGCTTACACAAATGTCAACTATCAGCTTGGCAGCATTACAAATTATGTGACATCATAGAACGTTTTAAAAGTATATAGAACTTAACAGATTAATATTGTCTGGCAATTGATTGGCATACTAAAAAAAAGAATCAGTTAAACTATCAATATTGTTCCCTTAATAGTTTCAAATGATGGCCGTGTTATGTTGTTTTTAGTTTTATTCTGTTGGCTGGCTGTCTTGACATGCTAATATTTTTATTATTATTACTAATTTATGTATGTATACAGAGTGGCCTACCATGATTTCCTGTTTTCCTATGTTAGTTAAATGAAATATTAGGTAACACATTGGGCCACTGTACATATTATATATAATTTTGACACAATTTTGTTGATTTTGTTATCTACAGTGTAGCTTTTTCGGACCAAAAGTCAAACAAAGGCTGTAAAATTGTAAATTAAGTAAAAATAAAATTTATAAAAACGTAGTTATTGTGTGTTACAATCATTGACGTTATTTACCAAATTGAGAAATTTTTTGTTTACCAATACAGAAAGCTTTTCCAAAAATAATAATAAATACTTCATCGATTTATCTTATTGTTATTATATAATATTATACAGGGTGGATTTTAATTTCTTTAAAGAAAATACTTGATATTTTATTATATTTGTCTTACACTTGTTTAATTTTTTAAATTCTACAATATTGTTCAGATTTTAAAGTTTTATTTAATTAATAATAATTAATGTCATTATTACTTTTGGATTGTTTGTTAATTTTATTAATACCGAATATTGTGTATAGAAAAAAAATGAAATGGACGGGTACCAATAGTTTTGATTTTGACTTGTTTTATTTAATCATCAATAACATAATATGTTGACCTTGAAAGAAACGTGATATTTAGCTTCTTATTATTTCAGTCTTCAAATACGGTAAATGAAATAATACTTTTAACAATATTTAAAAAGGATCAATTGTCCATTATGATACCGTTAATATATTATACTGTATTCATTGCTTACCTTGATTATTGTAACATAGTTATGTTTTGTTTTTTTTTCTTCAATATTTTTATTATTTTTATTATTACATACCAAGGTGGTTTTTATTTATCATATTTTATATAAATACGTTTTTATTAAGTTTAGTGTATAAAAATTAAAAATAGTTGTCATATTGCCATATTATGTGGGTACCTCATTCAAATCTTAATACATTCAAAATGTTGTAAACTATGAAATTTGTTTGTTATCAAAACACTTATTTTTCATTGTTTATGTGGCAAATTAAATTCCAACATAAAACGGTTTTGATCATTGTTTGTTTTTAATAATCTAGTTTAATTTTTTTAATGCGTAAATGTATTTATCTTGGTTATGACAACTATTTTCACGGACATTTGTGTACTATTATATTATTATAATTTATTATCATATTCTATAATATATATTTGTAATAGATATTTAAGACAAAAATGTTCTCTGGAGATGGTGGGTTTTGGGTTTATTTTTGTTTTTTATCTACACATTTGCTCAATTTCCATTTTACACCAATAACATACGTACACACATGTTATTGAATAGATTTATTGTATTGTACATTGTTTCAATTGTTTCAGAACAATTTAAATACAATACTTGTAATATTATTATTATTATTATAATAATTTTGTTTTTTTTATGTATTTTATTTTATAGTGATACAATTAATGTTAACATTTATTAAAGCACTTTTTATAAATATCTATTAAGTTGCTTTCAAAAATAAGTGTCCCTCCCACCACACTCCATTGTTTTTCACTTGTCATTTGATTGTTTGTTTATTTAATTTTTATTATTATTATGTTTTTCTACTAACTTAATTGCAACAGATTCACTTACATTTTTATAAACGACTGAGACCTATAACACATTTCGTATGATAATTTTTTAATCGTTTTACTATTTTATAAAAGATTTCTGTAAATTTATCAAATGATTCATAGAAAAATTTTTTTGTTTATTGTAAAACTAACCATAACAAATTCACCTAATTACATAAAATTAAAATCAACACCAATGAAATTCTACATTTAATATTGTATACATGTGTATAATATATTAATTATCAGTCATTTATCATTGCAATAGTTTAATAATATGTTCATTGTTATTTTTATTATTTTTATTATTGTTATTATTTAATTTTCAATAGTTCATTAAGTCTTCAGTATAATTATGATGTATTTGATTTAATTATTTTAACAGTGTTGTTAAGCCTGACATTATATTATATCTTTAGACCGCAAAGTGATATTAAACGAATAAATTCATTTTTTAATAAATTGGTTTCATTTCTTTTGTATTATTTGTTTGGATCTTTTGTTATGTGACTAGCTGAATTACTTGGCTTCACTCATTGTCACAACTGATAGCAGTGGCTTGTTAAATGAATTCATAAAATATTATGGTAGTAGTAAGTAGTTCATAGACTTATTCAGTATGCTTTAAATAGCATGTAATTAATTAAAATGAATATCTGTTAAAACAGTTGGTGTGGCATGACTTGTGTTCTATGTGATGTTAAAACAATTCTCTAAACCAATGGTCGGAAACCTTTTTGGACTCCCGGGTCACATTCTTAAATTAAAAAGATTTCGCGGGCCGGACAAAAATTTTGAATTCCAAATTATTTACTACTCAAAAAATTACTGCTTTAAACTTAACCATAATGCCGAATACTGCAGTATACAATATGATTATTTTGATATGATATTCAATTCAATTTCGTTCTAGAATTTAAAGCGGGCCGTATACAATAGACGCGCGGGCCGCCGGTTACCGACCACTGCTCTAAATCTTTTAGGTACCTAAAGTACAATTTCTCAAATTTGTATCAAAGTAGGTAGTTTTTGAGTCTATAAATCACAACCATAGAATCATTTCCTTTTATATACCTATACCGAGTAGGTAATTGATGTTGTTCATAAGAATTTTAAATGAAACGTCAATAAATAATAACACTTGAAAGTGTGTCATTTTTTTAATACGGCGTTTAGATAAATATGCAAAAGAAAAAAATATATTTCCAGTCCAATTTTAATTTGAAAAAAATGTTGAACATGTTTATCTCTTCTTATCTGTGTTTAGTAGCAAATAAATTGTATTTGTTTTATCAACACTATAATAATTAAAATTTAAAGTGCATTATGGAAAAAAAGAATATTAATTTGGTACATACTAGAGGTAATACTCAATAATAATTAACGACACGAAAAATCGAAAATATATTTCTTACAAAACCCAGAAAAGGGAACAAAGTATTTAAATATGTCTACAGAATTAAAATCCGGCTTTGGTTTAGGTTGAATTTTTTTTCACATTTGGGGCTTTCGTAGCCACAGGCGTAAAACATTTATGACCTGCGACTGTAACTTGATAGATCTTAAATTTAAAAATAACAATTTGTAGGGGGGAATAACCTAACCACGAGCAAATGCATTTTGAGATTCAAAAAAAAAAAAAAGTTGCATTAAAAACAAACATTTGAAACTGCAGTGTAGGTACAATATCAGTATTCCTAACCTCATAGCGTTATTTACAATAACTATATCATGAGAAAATAAATATTTTAATTAAACAGCTAGTTATCAAAATTTAAAAAATGTGAATAATAAGTTGAACTAGAGTTAAATTATAGTAAAAACATTTGAAAATTAGATAGAATTCAATTCTAAAAATACAAATGGGAAGGGGGACATGGTCGCCCACAGGCAAATGCATTTTGAGAATCAAAATAAAAAAAGCGGGTAAGTGGATGTCGCTCTGCAGTAGGTTACATGTGGGTCACTGTATAATGGATGAAATTAAATTTGAATTCAATGATACAATATCATTGAATAAGAAAAACGATTCTGAGTGGAGACGGTATGTCAGTCTTGGTTTAAGATATATTAATACCAATATATCTGAGTCAAAATTCGAAATTTAAATGCTTATAAAAAAAAAATTGGGGGGGACGAGGTGACCGAGTGGTCTGACTCTTCCGCTGCGACGCAGCCGGTCGCGGTTCGATCCTCGGCCACCGGGCGGCATTTTTCTCCGGACAAGTCGCGGTGACCGGAGAGCAAGTGCTGCCATCCCCCACCCCCGCGGCATGGCAGAAACCTACGGGTGCCCCATTCGAAATTCTGCCAAAAACAAACACACACGTGTTCCCCCTACCGTTCCAAAAACCTACAAACCATCAATACAAAAAAAAAACCTATACAGTACCTACTAATAGCTAATGGCCACAGTTGCCGGGCTCAGGATCAATTAAAAAAAAAAAAAAAAAAATTGTGCCTATGTATTTTAAATATTTTACAATTGCTATTGTAAAAATATATCAGGAGCCTTGTATTAAATTTTCAAGCTTTTTCGACCAACAAATAAAATTTTATTGGTATTTATAGAAAAAAAAACTAAGAAAATTGAAAATTGACAATGTCCGTAAACATCTCAAAAAGAGTCAAATTATTTTCAAAATTGTATAGTGTTTAGAAAATGCTAATATCAACATTCAGTGAAATTTTCAAGTATCTACAGCCATTCGTTTTTTAATTACAACAAAAACAGAAAATCGTTACATGTGAAATCGAGTGAATATCAAATGTTGTAAAAATATGAATTTCAAACGCTCATAAAAATTTAATTTGACTTTCTTCTAAAATTTTTTTTTTTGATAAAGGTAGACAAACTTATGAGGAATCTTGTATTAAATTGTAAAATCTTAGATTTAAAAAAAAATTTTTTTATGAATTTCTAACTTAAAATAATTTCCAAATTTTCGTCGTTTTTACGTATTTTGTCAATATTTGAACTTTAAATGCTTATAAAAAAAAACTGTGACTAAGGATTTTTAATTTTTATCATCTGCCTTTGAAACAATATACTAGGAGCTTTGTATTAAATTTTCAAGTTTTTTTAACCAACAAATAAAATTTTATTGATATTTTTAGAAAAAAAAATTTAAAAAATTGAAAACTGACAATGTCCGTAAATAGTTCAAAAAGAGTCAAATTATTTTCAAAATTGTACCGTGTATAGAAAATGCAAATATAAACAACCTGTGAAAATTTCATATATCTACGGCCATTTGTTTTAGAGTTACACCAAAAACCAAAATCGATTTTGTTAAAAAACCATTTTTCGTAAAAATTCCTGTTTTTCCTTAATTTTTCTTTTGTTTTTCACGTCGCTTTTAAAAATTACTGGGAAATTTTTACTTTTGACTCCCCAAAATACCAACTAGATTCACTTTCCAATCAGAAAAATTGATGTTGAAGAAAATCGAAGCAGTTTTACTGTCCTAAATGGTGATGACAGACACAAAAAAAAATAAAAAAAATTAAAAAAAAAAAAAAAACACGCATCATGGTAAAATCAATACATTCATCGTTCCAATCAGAATCTAAAATAAAAATGGGAAGGGGGACATGGGCGCCCGCAGGCAAATGCATTT